GTATATAAGTGAAAATATTCACAAAACCATTTATTTATTGATTCTTCTAAACGATGAAGACAGACGTGTTTAATTTGATTATTGGAAGAGCAATTGTTTAATTCTAAATAAAATCTTTTCGAATATCAATTGCACGTGTGAAGAATCGCGAGTGAAAGATGAGTTTACGATGGACACCGAGCTTCCTTATTATTTATTAAGACGTTTACGATTGCGATAAAGTGGAGCGAGTCTAATACTGAAACCAGGAAATTCCATAACCGAGGCTAACGACCACAACTGTTTATGCGTTCTTCCCTGTAACTCACCCTTCGTTTTACTACCAACCCATTGCCCAAGGCTAATTCGATTTGTCGTGACCAGTTTCATTCTCTTTTACCCTCAAATCGGTTTTCATTCTCTTACACGCAATGACTAACAGTCGAAACAAACCTCTGCCAGAATCTTAATTATAAAACTACAGTTCTGACGGTACAAGTCTTAGAAGGATGATCAATAATAAACGATACAAAACGACTTTTGCTCTGACAGTGAATTTTACAACTGGGGTTAGACGGAGAATTTAAATTGCAAGTGAGCCAGACGTCGAAAGGGATGGAAAACTGTTGGGATTTAGATTTTTCATTAAGGGAATTCGCACGGGAGAATGTTTAACGATAATTTATAGCATAAACGATCGTCGGGAGTGTGCACCGGCTGTAAAGAGACATAATGCATGGGCTGTGCGCGGGAGGAGGCAACGAAACGGTCTGCGCGATTGTTTCATCCCGAAAATGATATTCACGGGCCGCCACACCGCGCCTCCGCATCGTAAAAGGACTCCCTTTCTCTCCCCCTCTTATATACCGACGCAGCACACAGTTTCCGCTTTCAGCTTTTTCTATCCAACCCCGACCTCCTGTCGTATTTTTTAACAAGAGGAACAGCGTAAGGTTTACCCTGAAAATACATCGCCCCGGCATCATGCAATTAAACGTGAGTAGGTGCACCGGAGGGAAACCGTGGGGAATAGAAAAATCGAGGAAAATTTCTTCACGCTTTACCCCTTATCTATCCTAGTTTCTCCATTTCGTTTTTTCCACCATTCCGCTAATCAAAATTAACTCACTTTTGCACGTAATTACGTCAGTAGTTTCTCAAGCTGTTACCTCTGAACTTTTCACGAATTCATTAAGCGAATTAGAATTGATCAACATCGCGTACAAAATTGTTCCCGTTCCAATGACGACTGAATTTAAAGATTAACCTGGAACTTCTGAGAATCCCGGGGGAGATCGGGCTTTTTTTGAAACAGGCGAGCTAAGAGCAGGGGCAATCGATAGCGAAACGGCACGTTCGAGTGCTCTTCATTAATGCCGGGCATAATGCGAGGAGGCATAAGGCGATACGCTTGCCCATGGATTCGAGTGAGAAACGGTGAACTCTCTCTCTCTCTCTCTCTCTCTCTCTCTCTCTCTCTCTCTGGAGTTAACCCTGACGCGCGAGAACAACCATACAAATTCTCGACGCTTCGTAATTGTTCGCGCTTCGAACCTAGGTTTGTCTCGACTTCACAAAAGATACGCTTTACAAGTAGGACGATGAGCAAAATTCGTTCGCAGATATAACAGACTTACAGCGACACACGAAACGATCATTTATCTTGCAATTCGGATTTAAATAAATATTATTTTAAACAAACGCGATACGACGTATTTTAGCAAGAGTCGATTCGTATTTTAATTATCTGTCGATTTTTTTATTACAAGAATCGTTTCGTTAAATTGAAAAGCGCGTTTCGTAGATTTTTACGTAGAAATTGCATGCAACATGTGTTCGACAGAATCCGTAGCCTGATCGTTAAAACGGTCTGAATAAAATGGTACCGATCGGTACGAATAAAATAGGAGTTAAGGATGAAATAAAGTGGCACGGGACGATTCGGTTCAACAGGTGCATAAATCAGAAGATCTCTCCCACTTAGGTATTTACCTCTGTTCCGACGATTCGGTCGCCTCTGCCTCTGGCCAAGAGTCGACTCCGCCAGCGCGAACACCAGCAAAAGAACCACGAGGAATCTCCCCGTCGCCGGAAGTCCCATTTCACTCTCTCTCTATCTACGTTTACTAGCGTCTCATTTGCCACTGACTCGGAACAGATCTCCTTCCCACCTCAGCGAGGCTTCTTCAATAATACCAAAACTCGACTTAATTATCGTTCCGACACTTTTTCGAGAGGCACACCTCCGTCGAGAAAAATTGTGGAGCTACTCCTTCAGGATATTTTCCTATGCCTTATAACGAATCGTGAATACAATCATTATAAGAAATATAATACCAATTGATGTATCGGCTACTGTATCAATTATCGTACATGCTATCGCATGAATCATTGTACCAATGATTGCATGAATAAATAATATGAAACGGTGTATGAATTATTATTATTATTACGTCGAAACCTGTGTCAATCGTTATGCGAAATAATGTATCGATGACCATGTCAAACGCGATATCAATTAACAGTTGGAGATAGCGTATGAAAATAGTTAGACGAAGATTCGTAAACGAAACGTTAGTTACACGGGGGGGCTTGTGTTTGCAGGTTTTCTGACCGGTCGCCAATTCAGTTTTTGTTTTCACGAGATTACCGCGGAGGGCCGAGGGAAGAAAGGCGAAGCTGGGAGCAAAGAAAGGCAAGGAAATTGTGCAGCAAGCACAATGCTCCCGCCGACACGCTGTGTTTTTCAATTATTTTTAATTATTTTCTGAAAGCCGCGACCGCGTTTGATGCACACGAGGTCCTCCAGCACCCCTCCGTTTCACGCGCCCCCCCGCGAGTCCTATCGATCCCACCCTCTCGCTCTCTCCCTAGAGGTGTTTCCGCGTCCAATTTAAAAATGCCTCGCCTCTGTCCTTCTCTATTATTTTCCCTGTTTTTTTTCACATGGCGTGTCACCGGCGAACGGACAAAGGGGATGATTCCAAGAACAGGACCTTTGAATCATTTTCCTCCGCCATGCGGCAATTCATGAACTACGGAATTCTTTTTCGAAAATTTCCGGCTGCTCGGTTTTCCATCGTACGCGACGATCTAGTTTTCTAAATTTTAACGACATCGAATTATCGAATTCATTATTTCAATTTAATTTAATAATTGAAACCGCGTTGCCGTATAATCATGAAAAGGGTTGACGTCGATACCAGACACTAAATTGAAACACTGTCACAAAACGAAAGATCTGAATCACTCCACAATTTTTCAAATTCTATCTGTTTAGAAACACCGCACGAAAATACGAAATTCCTCTCGATAGGAGGTGTGCCATCGATCCTCGAGCAAAATCTCTGAACTCGCGGTTGTCTACCTGCGAGGGGAAAAAGGAAGGCGCGAGTTCTCCAAGCAGATACCGCGGTGACCGAGGCTGACAGACTGGCAAACTAGTAGTCACCATGAACCGAACCAACAACAGGCCACCCCACCTCCGCTGTCAACAAGGGAAGCGTGGGAGGCACTAAGCTACTTTGGATTTTTTTTATTCCCACCGCTCTCGGTCTCTACGCTGTCCGTTTCGCCAATTCAATTCGAGATTACTTACAATTTTAGAGACACGAGATAATAGACAGATTAGATCGTTCAACGACACGTTGGACAATCGAGGAGCTCCTCGTTCGTCTGGAGGGAAAATATAGACGAGAATGTTTTATATTAGAAAGACTTAGAAGGAAACTTATTGTTAGAATAGAACTGCTGGAAATAGTTTGGAAATACTGAGAAAACGATTTTAAAATAGATTTGATAACGAGAAAATCCTACTAAGTTCATAACACATAGAAACCTCGAACATTCGTCGAGGAAAAGAGTTTCATAAAAGATTCGCATAAAGACAAGACACTGTCTCAAGATGAAAGAATAAAAGTATCAAGAAAACTCTTACAATTATATATATCACTATAATAGTACAATTTTAAAATAGATCTTTTACAACAGATTTTGTAAGAACGCAGGAAGCATTAGAAGAAAAATTTGTATAACAATACCCACGGAACTGGTTCTCCTATGACCTTTTAACAAATCTCCAAACTATTCTATAATAGAATTCAAACAGTCTGAGAGATTCGTGATCTCCCAGTGGCCAGGGAGATCGGTGGAGTTCCTCGTTCGCACGCCTCCGCGGAATTTGTAACGCGACAAGCGTTATGAATAGAGCCATAAGCGCGAGAAAAATGTCCCGTGGGAGCCCGAGAATTAGCGTTCACAAATTTGAATATCTAAACGATAAAACAATCGTGGACGGTGTTCCTACCTCGCATGAATACCAAACGTGAAACTCGGGCGATCTCAACTTTTTTACTCCATCTTTTCGAAATTCTTTTACAATTACGACGTGTCCAAAATTTCCATGCAGAAATATTAAATAGGAAAATTCTCAGTACTTCCATCCACAAAAGATCAGAAGAAATATTTTACGAGTGAACATTAACAAAATTGTTTAACACATAGCCGACTGTCCTCCTCGTTTGAACGATTTAAGACGGACGTCGCCTGCATGCGAAACACCTAACGAATTTCAATGAGGAAACTCGATTTTCCTGTTTCTACAGATTTAGCTCGAGGATCTTTCGGTGATGTTTTACCGATTCCAGTGTAGGAGTATTCGAAAGTCGTCTGAATGGAAAATAGAACCGGCCCGCGGCGTTTCGAGCGAGCGACTGCCGCGTGATACGCGTCGCAGCCGCGGCCGCTCTGCCAGATAATAAGCACCGCGGCGCCGTTTGCCGCGCGTTTCTTATTGCAACGCATGCGTCCCGACGCCGTCCAGGGAAATTGAAAACCACGAGTCTCAGGTTTTTCCACCCATCGTTTGCACGTCTTCAACGATTCTATTCTTATTAGAATCAATTCCTTGCAATGATCTAAATAAAAAAAAAAGGAGTCTTGTAAAACTTGGAAACGTATGTACAATTTTTACAACGACGCGTTTGGAAATAATATATGAAACGAAGAGTAATCCTGAGACAGGCGTTAATTAAACAGTAATTTACTAATTGCGGTGAGAGGTGTTATTTCCGATCTGATGTCCACTGTCAGTGGACGTAAGAGCACGTCCCGTTGCGGATTATAAAAGTTTAAATAAAATAAGTTGGGAACAGTGGTTCGTGATACGACAGGGCAACGGAAAAAGCTGTTGCACGCCGCGACGCGTTTATACAGACCCGACGGCCGTCTCGCATTTTCATACTAATGGACTTCTTCAACTTCCTGAACACGCTGTAAGACGCGAATTATCTTTTTGTCAGCGGGATTAACGCGTGCCCAATGATCGCCGACAGTTTGCCCGACTTTTATTATTACCCAGGAGAATTCATAAATTTCATTCGCCAATCTATTTCGTCGTTCCTTCCGTTAATTACTCGTTCGACCAATTATGCATCTCCCGTGTAATCCGAGATTCGTTTGATCCATTTAATAAATCGCGATGTACCGTAGTTGCAATTTTTTACACACCGCGAATACACGTGTGTAAAAAATAATTATAAATAAAATTAAGAGAGAATTAAATCGTTAACAGAGGTTTTCACCGTTTCATTCCACGGTTTCGATTTACCCAAGTATTTTTTTATCCCAGTTTTATTTGCCCGATGAGTGAACAAGACGGTTTTTCTCCGGTGAACGAAAAAGCACAGTTTATTGACAAAATAAGCATATGCAAATGTACCGTGGACGGCCGAGGTGAAAGACAGAGAGAGAGACAGAGAGAGACACGGAGGGGCAAAGAGAAACTGTGTGATTTGTCTGAAAACTTGCTGCGCCGCGTGCTCGCCGTTTCGTTCCGCTTCTAAATCATGTCACGAATTTCAGCTACGTTCGCGTGATCTTTGATCGATAAATTAACGGACCACTTAGCTTCCTGGAAAATTTCTTCCTTTAAAAGAGAATCGCAATTTCCCTTAATTCTGTCCCTTTGAAGCCTGCTTTTACGTCTACTTGAAAAATGCTCCGATCATTTGTCAAATTCTTTTCACGTTGCATGCCAATTATAGAAATCCCGTCTTTAACGAAAGAATTCTTTTAATAAAGAGTTATCGTAAAAAATCTATTATTTATGTATCGCCTCTCGGGGGACGATATCGTCCTTATTGAGCCGATCGAATGAAAAGAGAATTTCGTTTAGGGAATGGAATCGGTTGAAGGGAAAAGCCTGTGATTAGGGCGAAGGGTGTCACAGTTTGATAACAGGTTCCTCGAACGGCCGAACCATTATCCGGCGCGTTAATTATTTATGAAATGAGCTCAAGGCACACACGAGGGTTGCTCGCGCGGAAACTTACACCGTCCACGAAATTTCATGCCTCTCCCATCCCACCTCGCGACCGATCACGAATTATTCAACACCCTCTCAGGTCCACGACCTTCTCTCCTTTCTTATCAAACAAAAATCAACTAGATAATCAATTGGAAATTCAGATCGACAATCCTAGTATCGTTGCAATTCTTAATTCTGGGAATTACAGGAGACGGGAAAACGAAAGATGGCTGCTAATAAACCAGAATCGACGTAATGAAATTAATTAGGATTAATGCTCGGTGAGAAAAAGATGATCCGCGGCCACCCTCAGACCGGAATTTCGTTAACCGTGATTTGGTATCAGAGACCGCATACCCCTTTCTAAATTAAACGAACGATTCGGGGTCGCGCTGCCGGCTGGCGTCGCGGGGGGGCGGGATCGTAATTCTGCCGGTCGCGTTCGTATTGTCGTAAATTACAAAAAAGCCGGAGGAATTGTTGCCGGGAAATAACCACCGGCGAACAACGACGCGGGAACAGTTTCACGGGAGAGAGTCGTTGCCGCATGCATCCCGTGTTCGGGTGGTGTGCTCGCGTTCGTTACCGCGTATACCCCCTTAAGTGTGGCAACAACCCGCGCCGGGTAACGCCTACCAATCTGCCGTTTGTCCCGGAACGAGCCACCCCCGCGAGCTTAATTCCACCCGGAGAAATGAAGCTTAAAGCCGAAAATGAATTCTAAAAACCGTGCCGAATGATGAAACCTCGAACGGGACCAGTAAATCTGCCCGGATGGATCATAATTGCATTCCGAGCCGCTCGTAAATCTTCCTATTTTCGACTACTTTTTCCAACGGCCAACCGGACACTTTGTTATTGATCAACCAACTGTTTCTCGTTTAATCAATACAGAAATGCGAATGGAACGTCAAAACTAGATCGTACACAGTCCCATAGTATTCGTGACACCACACGACAAATCACGATATTTTATAACTTGAAAGATGAAACGCATTCTTCTTCCCAATTTCAATTCACTGAAAAGTCTACAGTATTACTGCGTTCCCGTTACGAACCAGTGGAACAGGCCTCGTTAGTAATTTTCTATCACTGAATATTGTTTAGCTGCTATTTAACACGGTCGCGTTACCCTGTTTAACATTTGTGGGTGTTCGATGTCGTGGCGTTCGATCCAAAATTAGAGATTGTTATCCGACACGAGATATTCAGGGTAAACCAACGCAACGGTGGCTCGGTATTTTAGTTCAATTGCTCGGCCCGCGTTAAGTTTGTTGGGATAGCCTTCGAGGAAATTGAACTTTGAGAATGTTGATGCTGGCTCCGTGCCAAATGTAACAGGTGATTGAATCATCCTCCACCTCTAAACCGATCAAACCTCTAATCCTTTCGAATCAAATAAAAACCTCGACGAGAATCATCATCAGTTTTTTTTTTTTATATCCATTGAAACTTAAGCTGTGTCGATATTTTCTCTGGTTTCTGCATTGCTCTATTCGTAATTCCATTGGTTACGAACATACAACTGCTTCCTTATAAGAAGTTGAATAAAAATGTTTAATATAAATGCAGCGATCGCGGTTATTATCGATTCGCCGAAAAAGGAGTTTAGAAAGGTTCTTAGGAAGCGGCGACAGGATGATGCAGCGATTACGGGGTTAGCGACTTAGTCTTTTTGCGCGAGGGCTCGGGGTCGAGAGGACGCACCTGAATAATGTCCCGGGACATCGGGGGTTGACGTTTGTCGTGGCGGTGCCTAGCGTGCCGTCGCCGTTCCTATCTGCTATAGAGCTCTCCCCAGCTTAACGTAACTCCCCATCGCGTCATACCTCGTCCCCGGCTTCCTGGCTTTCGCCCTGCCCACCTCACGACTCATAATTGTCCCCGTCCGAGCTGGCACATCGCGGAAGCGGCCGCGGGACACGAAACTGCTTCCATGCGCATTCCTATCCGCCTAGCTAGCGATGGGAACGAATTGAGGATCAAAGGATTTCGTCTAAATAATCAACGCTTTCAAAGTAGTAACGAGATCTGGAATATCAAAAGATGAAAATGATCAAGAATTAAAAGATATTTGATTAAAAATCAATTATACTTGCAACGACTAAACGTGATTCACTGTAAAAAATACTCTTTCAAT